GACGCCTTTGTCGCGTTGGTTTATTTTTGATTTATTTGCTGACTTCTGTTTCCCCTACAGCTCAAGGAACGCAATGGAAGCAGGTAAGCTTTTATTCCCCTGGCGTCGGGTCGCTAACCCTCCCCGTCGCCAGTATTCCTCTCTTACGGGCGCGTCGTAGGTTATTTTTCGAATTTTGGGTATCTGACTGATGAATTTCTTCTACTTCTATAGTCGCCAGGCTCTTAAGAAATATGTCCATAACAACAACAAAATCACCGTTACCTCCCAGAGCGCATTTGATGCCCAGTTCAACCGCGCCGTCAAGTCTGGTGTCGAAAAGGGCGAGTTCACTCAACCAAAGGGTTTGTTTCCCCTCCTCCCCCCCCCCCCCCTCCCGGCCCCCAAATTCCCTCGCCACCTTCTTTGCAACCCCCTCCACATCATCCGTCGCGTCACTACGCCGTCGCATCAGAGATCCATTCAATCTCTCCCGTCAATATTCAAGTCGCGTCTTGCGCGCTCAATCGTCAACAAAAAAGCTAACGCGTCCATCAACCAGGTCCATCTGGTCCCCTGAAGCTCGCAAAGAAGGAAGCTACCAAGCCCGCCACTAAACCAGCTGCTAAGAAGGCCGCGAAGCCTGCTGCCGCCAAAAAGGCTGCTCCCAAGGCTGCCACCACCAAGGCTACTACCACCAAGAAAGCTGCTCCCAAGAAGACCGCTGCTGCTAAGCCAAAGGCCAACGTTGCCAAGCCACGCAAGACCACAACCGTACGTTTTTATACATCCACCATGTTGTCCCATCATCAGTTGTGTCTTCGAAATCTGCTAACACTTTTCATCAACCAACAGGCGCCGGCAGTTGTTGAGCCAACCAAGGTCCTAGGCAAGACCAAGTCTGGACGCGTCACAAAGACTACCGCAAAGTCCACACCAAAGAAAGCTGGTGCGACGAAGAAGACGACAACGACGAAGAAGGCCACACCGAAGAAGGCAGCTGCATGAGCGTGGCTTTTTTGTTTTCTTCGTGCTTTTTTCTATGACGGTTTTTTCTTCTGCTAAAGGACTCCCCGGGCTCTCATTATATCTTTGTTGTTTTTCTCTCGTTTGGTTTCCTCGGGCGCAATTAGCTCTAGGGTTGTGACCTTTACGTACGGTACGGAATGACTATCGTGCATCCAAGTTAGCAGTGGATCTGTTCTGTTCTCGTTTTTTAAATATGGTACGAAATGGCGTCTGGTAGGGAATATGGGAAATGGATGGGTTTGCTTTTGTGTTTCGAGTGCTGATTTCTTCGTTCTTTTGTGCGTGCTGTACGTGATGTGTGAGTGGATGTATAACCTTTATGTTAATCTTTTTGCGATGGGTATATTTCCCGTCGTGCAAAATTATTCTTGAGTGTCTGTTGTTGCTGTTTGTAGGGATATGGCCTTTTTTTTTTTAATTAAGTTTTTTTTTTTTTTTTTTTTTTTTTTTTTTTTAATTTTCTTTTTTATATATCGTATGGTTTGGTGGTTTATTTTACGCTGATCGAGTCTTTCTATGACTTTTCGCTGGTCAGGTTGGGATCGGGAGTGAATATTCGTATTTCTTGTCTTGGTTCTTGCTCGTATAGTTATCATGGATGTTATCGGTTTTGAGTTTGTGATTGGATTTTTGTTTAACGATGTACCACTGGGCTTTCGGTGGGTCCTATAGGTTAGGGTTGAGAATACCTACGCAAGGAATGGCCGTGGACTCTCTTTTTAAATGTAGGGGTTTGAAATGCGAATCCATTGGATGGTGGATGGGTTCGAGGAAGGGTTGATGGGGGATTTAATGTCTATTTTACATATCAATGAGAATGAACTGGCCTTGTTTTAAATTGCGTCCAGGGATATGTATATCCCTGTTCATGAAGAGGCAAGTTACTTGGAAGTAACGACTAATTTTATTTGGTTGGTTGACGATTTATGAGTGGCTGAAGGGAGGTGGAAAAGGGGGGGATGGATGCAGATAAAGT